ACACAGGAAGTTATAATTATTACACTATTTGCTCGTGCAAACACCTAAGTACTTACCTATTTGCATAGCAAATTAATTTTAATTTGTCAATTCAAATTGAGTACTTGTTGTGGGTATTTATTAAGACATTTAATTGAACTTGACTGGTACTTAATTGAAATGATCAATGATCAATTACTGTTATGATAGTATTGGATACGGATTAGTTACTAGGTCAATGTTGGAGGTCGGTTCACAGGAAGCGAGTAAGGCTCGGGAGTAAGGTAGTTACTCGTAAGTAGTTGGCTCTATCACAAAATAGCTAGTTTCCTACAAGATTTACATTTTACTTTATAACCTAGGACATTGTAAGAAAAAGGACGTATTGAACTGGTTGGGATGGCCAATATTTAAGTATAGATTTGGCGCTTAACTCGGCTAGTGACTGAGGTATGGGAGCGACATTGAGATTTATGACGTACCGTGACAGAGCATAGAAATCTGAAGCACATTTTGGAAGTCCCACTGGCGTTTGACGTTTCAAATACACCCTCCCATACCAACCTCGGGCACTTACTTCCTCAGAAGATAAGATGTTCCAATTGATCCAACTACCTAATATTACTTTTGACAATTTAGGCCGGATCTGGCCGGTTCTTCAGATGTTTTGCAGCATGTTCTTATTGCCATGTTTCAGGGCAAATATCATTCATCAACCATTTGGTGTGGTTCGAACCCGCTGGTAAAGCCGAGGAGGAGGTGACCGCTCTTGCCATGGAATATAGCGGTCATTCTCACGATTAGGCGTTCTCAGCCTAATTACCATATCATTTTTGAAATTTGGCTTAATTGACTTAAACGCATTTAAATATGAAACACATGAAAAGTACGAATTTAACAATCGTTAAGGCGTCAAATTATTCTAAGCGGTTTTCGCGTAAATGAGACCCAAAAATTTTGTGGTCACGGTAATTAGATAAGGCTAATACTTAATCTAACGGTAATTAGAAAAAATATGTAAAATAGCAAGAAAACAATATCTTGCATTGTTTTCTGTTATGTAATGATAAATTTGTATATAAATATATTATAGCGTCAAAAAAACGCTGAAGGTACACTTAATAACCCTTTGAAAAAAGGAAAACACTCATTTCTATTATTTATTGTATCAAGATATTTTCAGTATACTGCAATAATTGAGGCTATAACAGGAACACTTAGTTTCGGCCAGAAGGGGCTACGTGTCACATTTCATCAGAATCTTAATCATCATTTATTTGATTTCAATGTGGTACAAACGCTTTAACGTACAGATAATGGATCAGGAGATCTCACAAATATGATTTTTCGGATATGCATATATCGAAAAATTAATTAATGATTTAAGTGATTTTTCCTCTTTTTAATCTATCTGCTATCAGCCATCACCCATTATCAGATTAAATTGAATTTGTAATAATGACAGTTCCANGAAAGTTTGACCACAGAGTTTGAGAATTGGCAAAAAGAAGTAGCTGAGTTAAATAACGTCAAAATCCCGAGACGTTTATCTAGTCTGCGTCTAATGGATGGCAAAAGAAGTTTGCATATATTTTGCGATGCAAGCATGAACGCATATGCAACTTGCATTTTTATGCGAACTGAAAAGGATGACGTCGTGAACGTGAGCTTGGTACTAGCAAAAGCAAGAGTTGCACCTAGCAAACAACAAGTCACAATACCGCGCTTGGAATTGTTAGCGGCGGTCATCGGCACCAGGTTGAGTAGGCTAGTTCAAGACGCACTGAGGATCGATTGTGATGTATATTATTGGACCGATTCGAGTGTTGTACTAACGTGGATAAAAAAGGATTCACAATGGGACAGGTTTGTTAAGAATAGAGTCGACGAGATAAGGAGATGCACAAGAATNCCAAAGTCGCTAACATAGCCCGACGGAATTAGCAAGCTGAAGTGGCAATGGGCAGGGCACATAGTACGCAGAACTGACGGCCGATGGGGCAGAAAGGTTCTGGAATGGAGGCCGCGTACCGGAAAACGCAGCGTGGGACGTCCACCTACAAGGTGGATCGACGACATCGTAAAGGTAGCAGGGAAGCGCTGGACGCAGACCACTGCCAATCGATCAACATGGAAAGCATTAGGGGAGGCCTATGTTCAGCAGTGGACGTTCTATGGCTGAAATGATGATGATGATGATGATTTTCATAGATAAATAGCAATAACATAATATAAATAGCTACATAATAGTACCTACTTAAATACAAGATAAAAATTTACCGATTACGTCACCTACTAAGTTANAGATATTTAATCATCTGATTTCAAAGTTATTGTTCTATCTTATACCGTTTATGAACTATTATTGTGTGACCATCAAATTTGAGTGTAAATGAGAAGTACCCTACTACATTTCTCTTTCCTCACCAATGTAATGCTCAGTTCGCCCCCTCAGTGATGTAATGCTCGAATCTGTAACGTTACATTATAAGCAATGCTCCACCTGTAACAAAACTATATACACATCTAATGCAGCAACATCCAGAAGGCTTCCGCAACGTTCTGGTATGGCTGAAGGAGCAGTACGGAGACCAGAAGTTCCTGGTGACCGAGATTGGCTACCCTTCGAAAGGAAGCAACCTGGACGACACTGAGCGAGTGCAGTACTTCCAAGACTACTTGACTCAGGTATTTTTTCCCATTCCCTGTCCTTTGATAGGGTTTTAAGTTGCCCAACTCGGCCAACTCTCAAAGTTGAGCTGACAACAAATAAGTTGTGCCATAGAAACGGAAACGATTAAGTAGGTTCGATAAAATTAAATTATATTTCTATCCAATTGCGTACTTTATTGGGGGAGGCCTTTGAAACGAAGGAACGAACATTGTATCTAAAATAAAAATGTATGTAAATTGGAGAAATCATGGCACTAGAAATCACGTGGTTGAGCTGAATACATTTTAAAAAAAATGTTAAGATGTTAGAACATTAGAAGTCTGTATAAATGTAGTTTAAAACATTATGTTTTGTGTTATGTAGATGCTGTTAGCCATCCAAATAGACAAAGTGAACGTCATTGGTTTCTCAGCCTGGTCTCTAATGGACAACTTCGAATGGATGGACGGTTACAGGTACTTTTGTTTCAATATAGATTAATTAAATATTGAACACTATTGCTATCAATTAGCACTGATCAAAGTTTTGATGAACATCAATACCTATTATAGAACGGTCCTATCATTGTCATAAAATAACATTGATAGCAAATTGATGCAGCTTGCTTGATGACCTTTCAGATAAAGTTGTAGGTCGGTTGATAAAATGTTATTTTATATAAGTGTTGATATCATCAATAATTCATAAAACTTTGTCAACAGCACGAAATTCGGCCTATATGAAGTAAACTTCACCGATCCGCCGCGCCCGCGCACTCCCAGACTTTCAGCTGCGTTCTACTCTGACGTCATCAAAAAGCGCTCTATTTTTCTTGAAGATAGCTCTGCTTACGTCACTTGGATAGCCATAGGTTGTACGCTGGTCTTTGTAGCAGTAGCTGTGGTGCTTTGTCGGTATATCACGAAATTTAGCGACAGGAAAGAACAGGAGTATGAGAGCGTTGCGTTACATAGTTCAGAACAGAAAAATTGAATAATTAGAAAGAAGGATACAGAATTGTGATGGTATAGACTGGGGCAAGGATTTCAGGATATATTTAGTTGAATAAAAGTTGCTTTTACCTAAATGAAGGAGGGATCACGAAATTAAATCTGTCTCGAATATTAAACAAGGTCTGTTAATTAATTTCTATCAAGAAAAGAAATTGATATTAAAGCCAGCTGCTTGTATCAGCAAAAAGGACTTATTTTGCCGTTGTCTTGATTTGTGTTATGGAGATAACTGTAGTAAACTTATCCTAATAAGTAACCTATTTTTAAAGCGATTGTGTACCAACGTAATATTGTAAATTGTTTACAATTATTTCATTTAAGTACCTATGTATACATATGTATAGAGTTATTGAAACAATCAGACTATTGATCAGATGCTAATTATTTTAATTGTCATTATCGTAAATACTGTTCTTAATAAAATGAATTAATTCTTGGGAATGAATACTATGATTAATTACAAAGTAAACAGAGCTGTAAAATATCTAAAGATCCCGATAACTAGAACCATTCAGTCACATTCATTGACTTGTAGGTAATGAGTTTAATTGAACTATCTATACTAGTATTATAAAGTTGTTTGTTTGTACACGCTAATCTTAAGAACTACTGGTCCGATATGAAAAAATATTTCAGTAGTAGGTATAGGGTATAGGTACCAATGGTATAGTCAACGTCAAATTTTAATAGTTCCTAACCTAACCTTTCTTCAAATAGTAATGTAGACCAGGTACTTATGATGTATTCTGAAGGAAATTTTACATTTTCTTCACCTATTTATTTGCTAGGCGGAATGAACTGGGTTAATGCAAAAGCGCAAAGTAAGTAGCGCAAAGTCTGAAATGAGATAAGAATACATATAGGATAGGTACACCCACCGCACGACACGTATCAATGTAAAATACCCAATACATAAAGCGACTTTTAACCCTAAGCGTTTGTAGAATGCCTTGAAAAACCAGACTAGGAAAGAGGTAGATGGCTGGTCTGATGATGAGACTGGAAGGTGGCCATAGGAAGTCCTGAACGAAACGGTGGAATCGCATCGAGTTTGAGTTCATTGGATTTGTCTTTTCGAGCACTTTAGAGCTAGATGATTTTTGGCGTGTTTTTAGTTTTTTAAACTATTAATTTATTTTAAGGTATCTCAAACTCTATCGAATGATTACTCGATTCTTCTTCTTTATTCTCGATTGAGAAGGGGCGCTAAATAAAATTTTTACCCCTGTTAGATTAAATCGCAGATCCGTTGCTGTAGGCCATAAGTCAACATTCATTGTATCTAACTCAAAGTCAACGCGCTCGTAATATTTAATTAGATAATATTAATCACACTATGTCAATTCAAAGATTACTGGCAAGACCGAATCACTCACTTGAATCGGTCTCCTGTAGTGGGACGTGTGGGATTATCTAAAATATTGTTTTTGTTATCACAAAGATAAGTGTGGATGAAGTGTTTAGTGAGCGAAATGATCGGTGTTCAGTTGGTGGTCTTCAGGTAAGTTTTTCATAATTTTATTTACTGAACGACGACTCTACATTTTCGGCCTTTTCAGTTCAGATTAGTTCAGTTAGAATTAAAAATTTCTGAAATCGCGTCTTTTTAGAAAGTTCGCTAAATCAGATTTGTATTTAACAACAAGGCATTTTCAATAAGTTGAACGAAAAAACTTAAAAATATGAGTGATTTTCTTCATCTTCTTTTGGGGTGAACTCTTTGTATAAACTCGCCATTGATGGTGTGGAATAAACAATAAATTAATACCTGGGAGTAGGTATTGTTTTTAATATAATAAATGCTCATAGGATGTTTTAATCATTGTGTTAGGTAGGTATTAACTAAGCTTACTTACTTTATTGTTTTGATCGTTACAATGTTATAACTTATCTACGAGATTGATAAAATGATATAAGTAATATAAATACGAGATAATATCATTGTATTACTCGTATTATGACTTCGAAGGACGTTTCAAATTCTTGAATGACTTAGTTAATGTAGATTTGTATGCCTAATATCCTATTTTTTCGAAAATAGACGCTACGATTCCCATTCTATTCCAATGATTTTCTAACAACATACAATGATACATGTATCTGTATATTAGGCATACAAATCTACATTATAACTAAGTCATTCAACAATATACTCGTACAAATAATATGTGCACAGTAGATAAATAATGTTCTATACATATAGACGATAACAACACATACTGCCTACTGCCGTAATATTTCTACCCTGTGTAATGTGTATCCAGGATTCAGGTTCTAACTCAATACTAAAAGCTCGACCGCTAAAAAAGTAAAGTTTGGATGCTTACTAAGTAGATTTAAAGGAGCAATAAATGGAACTCACTTGCTAGCTTTAAATTCACAGTGTGGTGGCGGCAGGGCTGGAGGCGCGTCTCCTGGAGTTCCCTCCAGGATTCAAGTTCGGAGCGGCCACCGCATCCTACCAGATCGAAGGGGCTTGGAATGCTAGTGGTAAATATTAACTTGCTTATTGTAGACCACAAAATTTAGTGTTGGACCTCCCGCTAGGTGGACCGAAAATCTGGTAAAGTTCACGGGAAGTACACAAATGTAAAGGAAAGACAAACCGACAATCCTGTGAGACTTGCGGAAAGCACCTGGATGCGGGCTGTGCAGAACCGGTCGTTCAATTCCTTGGGAACGTCTTTGTCCAGCTGTGGACGTCACTTGAAACGACGATTGTGGACCATGTTTTGTGCCCTCAACTTTTTCACATAACTGGTATTTGTTGCAGACAAAACAGCAAACATTTGGGATGAGTTCACCCACAAGCACCGCGACCGTGTGAAGGACGGTAGCAACGGCGACGTGGCCTGCGATTCGTATCACCAGTGGGAGAGGGATGTGGAAATGGCGGCTGAACTTGGACTGGACTTCTACAGGTAGTTTAACAGAATGAGGCACCAGAGTAACTATACACCTACCTACCTACGTAACTACACCGCCGAGGAATAAGGATGGAATGGACACCATGTGTCCTTTATGGCACAAGAGCAATGTATTTTTGTATCTTATTTTATAGGCTTTTTAAAAAGCACTTTTATGGCGACGTAGCGTGACAATAGCATAGGAATTACGCGAGAATGTGACGCGTTCCGTAAGTTGAGAAGGCTGTCCAGTGGGCCTGGATTTCTACAGGTAGATTGAGAGCAGGGTGAGACGTCTTTAATATATTTCAAGCAGCAAACCGTGGTTTCTCTTAGAGCAACGGCAACGTGGCCGTGAGTCTCTGCCAATGGTAGAAGCATGGTCTTCTAAAGGGCGAGTGGGGCACTTTAACCACGTACTTAATTTGTTGGCAAAAGCAATAGAATCAGAGACGTGAAAAGCAGCTGCAGATTTTGGTCTGAGTTTGATCTCAAATCAAAAGCTACTAAGTAAAATGACATTAGGTACATTCATGATTCCAGGTTCTCCCTATCCTGGACCCGCCTCCTGCCCACCGGCTTCGGACACGCAGTCAGCGAGGACGGGAAGACTTACTATAATAAGCTCATCGACGCTCTCCTTGCGAAGGGCATAGAACCCGTGGTTACTTTGTACCATTGGGACATGCCGCAAAGATTTCAGGACTTGGGTAAACAAACGAAACATTTTTGCTGAATGCTGATGACATGCATTACTTTTTAGTGACGAGCTTGTGACGAGGATATTCAATCCATTAGCAATTCTTTAACACACTATACCAATAATATTGTTGCCAATTATTTTTTCGTAGACTTACTGGTATATCATCGAGTCTCTTCTTCTTCTCTACCAGAAGTGGTGCGAGACATGGCATGTTTAACAGTCGACAACACATCAGACTGCACTGTATTTTTGTTGCAAACTCACTGCATAACTGCATAAGATGCCATTGTCTTGTTTGATGTGCTATCCTCCGTACCTATACCGCTACTGGACAGCTCAATTCACCCCTTTCGCATCGCTCTACTTACGCAAGAACTGACTCAGTTATGCGCCTGTGTAATTTTAGCCTTGGAACCTATACCTACTTAATTATCTAATTTACACTGGCTTGCGACACATAGGAGGCTGGGCCAACCCTCTCGTCGTTGACTGGTTCGCAGCCTACGCCAGGGTGGCCTTTGACCTCTACGCCGACCGAGTCAAGACCTGGATCACCATCAACGAGCCCGTCATCGTCTGTGATGCTTCCTACAGCGGGTTTTTAGCCCCAGCTGTACGTGATGATGAGGTTGGGGTGTACTTGTGCAATAAGAACATACTGCTAGCCCATGCTAAGGCCTGGAGGATCTATGACGTGGAATTCAGGCCTAAGTACAAAGGTAAGTGTTTTAGAATAATCTATTATATAAAAGAAAGTCGTGTTAGTTACTCCACTTATAACTCAAGAACGGCTTAACCGATTCAGCTGAAAATTGTCAGGGAGGTAGTTTAGAGCCAGGAGAAGGACATAGGATACTTTTTATCCCGTTATTGATTGCCATTAAGGCGGAACAAAGTTCGCCGGGTCAGCTAGTATATTATGTAGAAGCTTCTCAGATTACTGATTATGTAGATCTGAATAAGAAAGATAGACATGATAAAACAATTTAGGATCGATTTTGTGTTTGAGCAAAAATCACAGACACTATTAATGATCTTTCACGCTACGTGACGATTCCTGATAGTGCTGTGTGTGTGTCAATTGAGCACAGTTTCAGCCTGCCTCAAAATGCAAACTCGTCAATGAATATAAGTAAAATATTTATTGCATACTTATTGTTAATTTCAGGGCAAATATCTTGGTCTAACCACTTGGTGTGGTTCGAGCCTGCCAGCAAAGCTGAAAAGGAAATGACCGCGTTGGCTATGGAACACTGTGTAAGTTGCGTACGAGTACTCGGTAAATGTAATGTACGAGTAACTAGGAGGATAATCTATGTATATTATATTGTGACTCTTTGTTGCCCAAAACTAAAAGTTTTAAATCAAGAAGATGTAACATTAAAGAACGTACCTACTGATTAGAAAGCGGTCATTCACAGGAACTTAAAGGTTATCTTTCATGTCGCAAAAGCTCCGGGATCATTGACAAAAACGAACATGACGGATTCTTTTCCCAGGCAGGTCGGTACTCTCATCCCATCTTCTCTAAGCAAGGAGGCTGGCCTCCAGCTCTGGAGAAGTTCATCGCTGAAAAGAGCATCAAGGAAGGTTTTAGAAGATCAAGACTACCTGCTTTCACAAATGAGGAGATAGAACTTATACGAGGTTAGTAAGTTACCTTATTGAAAAGAGATCTGACGGTCGACGGGGTAGCAAGCTTCTGGAATTGAGGACATGTAGGGTCCACTACAAGATGAATAGATGACCGTAAAAGGTTGCAGGAAGGCGCTGGATGTAGGCCGCTGCCAACCGGCTAGTCAGAAAAAGCCTTTGTTCAGCAATGGACGTCCTGTGGTGGAAATTATGATGATGATGAAGAAGTCGTTTCCTTTCTTCTCAGAGAAAATTCCTGCTTCAATCTACGAAATACGAGAGAAATAATGACAGTAGCAACTCTCACTCTCACTTCACTTTCTCGTTTACCTACAGGATAAAACGCCGCTTCGTGTTAAAGTATTTGTATATCTGTTAAGTTATAAGTAACACAATGCATATTTACTTATTTATTATCAGAAAGACAGAAAGAGCAGATTCTACTCATTTCTTATAAGCCGCCACAAGGCTGAATGGAACAAGCCAATTTCGGCAACCATTCTTTCGACACCTATGTTCTTTTGATTAATTTCGTTGCGGGTCCAATGACAGTTAAACTTTCCCCCGGGACAAACTTGAGCTTCACTGGTTGGGTTTTTATTGGCGGTCAAGCTGTAGATCTTGGGTATACAGGAGTATGCAGCGGTGGAAACCACTATTTGGAACTTAAAAAATTTTATGTCTCATATTTCAGGAACATACGACTTCTACGGACTGAACCACTACACCAGCAAGGTGGTCCGTCTGCCGAGACCTGGGGAGACACCAACCGGCTGGCCCTTGTACGGCTCTCCAGAACTGGGCGTCATCCTTGAGGCTCGCCCGCAATGGAAACCCACTAGCTGCTCGTGGCTAAAGGTTTGTTTAAGATTTATACCTACATAAGTAATGGTATCATCATCAGGTCTCTAAATCGAAGGCAAATGAAGGATTTTTTTACACTCTCTACGATGGCCAGAAGGGTTGGGGAGGCTATTTGGATTACTGCTTTGAACTGAGATATTATTGACAGAGGTAAATGGAGGATTTGTTCTACATTTCCCACGCTGTTCAGAAGAAGACTGTAAGATAGACTGCGTTGAACTGAGATATTGCTCACCGAGTTTATTTCCTACTAAACGTAACTATATCAGACTCCCAACAAAAACAAAGATGAAGTTATACCTATCTTTATCAACTCCTGTATCATAATCTAAGTAATCAAGCAGGTGATGGTTATTCTCTCTTCCTCATTTCACTAAGATCCACTGAACCCCTAAACCATTAGGACGAAGAATGGCACTAGTTCTAACGATGAACCATTTATAAAATAGAACAACTTTCCTTTCAGCAAAACCCCAAAGGTTTCCGCAATCTCCTGGTGTGGCTGAAAGAGCAGTACGGAGACCAGAAGTTCCTGGTGACAGAGAACGGCTTTCCTACGACAGGCAGCAACCTGGACGACACTGAGCGAGTGCAGTTTTACAAGGACTACCTGACCCAGGTATTGAAATCCCTTTTTTTAATCTTCAACGAAGGAGCCCTTGGCCTGATGGAAAGTGATGATCAGGCCAAAGTGAAGGATCCTCAACAACAAATGAACTGGCTATCTTTCTTCCAACTGCTGGAACTCAACAATGCTGTTGACATTGTTTTTATTGTGACAAATTAGGAACTTATGGTGGTAGCCAGGCAAACTTAGAATAAATTCTACCACCAACCAAACCGCGCAGAAAATGCCTCCACTATAAATCGAACCAGGGACCTCTGGTTCAAAATAATGGCCTCATCTACCCTGTCAGTATACTCAAAAAGACCCCACTTCACAGAAACAAAGATCAAATTGTTGTTTTAACTAACCTATAACAATTTATACAGATGCTGCTTGCCATGAAGAAAGATAACGTGAACGTCGTCGGGTACACTGCCTGGTCTCTCATGGACAACTTTGAATGGGTGGACGGTTACAGGCAAGTGTCTATAGTTAAGTAGATGATACTTAGATAAGCAAAATATTAGAACAGTAGTCAAGCCACATTGCAATCGTATAAGGTAGGAGACAGATCCATTGAGGAGCATGATAAGAAATGTGTTTTTGTTTTGACAGCTTATTCGCCCATTATGGAACATTTTAAACAATCAGATAATTTAGTTTCCTTGCAGGAGCACGACCTGTCCTTTAGTCGCCTCTTATGACATCTAGGAAGAGTTGATCTGGTCCTATTCTAATCTGCAGTAAGTAAGTCACACGACTTAAATGATTTAATGATCATAGAACCTTTTCCACAGCAACAAATTCGGGCTATACGAAGTTAACTTCACGGATCCTGAGCGCCCACGCGTTCCTAGGCGCTCAGCTACATTCTACGCTGACGTCATCAAGAACCGGGCTCTGGACGAGTATGAAGACAGAACAGCATACGTGGCGTGGGTCGTCATAGGTAAGTTTTTTTTTGCTCTGTATGTGTTCGTTCTTTTCAGCCAAATGGCGTCCACTGCTGGACAAAGGCCTCCCCAAGGATTTCCACAAAGACCAGTCCTGTGCTGCACGCATCCAGGTAATTCCCGCAACCTTCACCAGATCGTAGGTCCACCTAGTGGGAGGAATGCCCACACTACATATTCCAGCTCGTGGTCGCCACTCAAGAACTTTTCTACCCCAGCGGTCATCAGCTCTATGAGCTATGTGCCACCCGTCCATTGCCATAAACGTTTAGCGATTCTGTTGGCTATGTTGGTTACTTTGGTTTTCCTGCAGATCTCCTTATTTCCGATTCGATCACGCAGGGAAACTGCGAGCATAGCACGCTCCATCACCCTTTGTGTGACCTTGACCTTTTCTTAAGAGGCCCGAAAGAAAGCTCAAGATATGTACATAGTGGTGGTAGGGCAAGCTATATTTGGGACGTGTATAAGTGCCCTGGAAAGGGCCCATGTACCTACTGAATAAACTGTTTCATTTAATTTCATAGCACAGAATCCCATAGTTTTGCTTGTAAACCTTCTGGGAAATGAATAATTTTCTATTCTATTCATAGGATCGCTGCTGGTCTTTGTAACAGTAGCTGCGGTGCTGTACAAGTACATCAAGAGGATACGGGACAAGAGAAAACCGGAGTATGAGAGCGTTGCGCTTCATAACAACACCACCCCGAAGAGTTTCTTAACTCAGTAAGAGCGCTTTCACATTTAGGCGATTTACCAGCGCGACAAACGCGCTGACGAAAATTTCATACTATGAGACAGCGGATGCATGACTTCACATTATAAAAACGCCGCTGCCGCGCTGCTGTCGTGCTTCTAACGCAATGTGAAAGCGCTCTGGCTTTTTTTACACGCTAAGAAATTTCACCGTGTCTGCCGCAGACAAGACAAGTTTCGTCGGACCTAGCTACGAAAATTATGCCCGTTTTTACCATCAACCCCTAATTTTTAAGTGACCCCTATTGTAACACATAACATGAATTTTGTTTACGGGCATTAGTCACACAGTGCGCATCCGCCGCGTGTCGTATCCAGCGCAGATAAGAATTATTTCTTGGTAAGCGCCGGAGCAATGTACACTGTTCGTGTGAAGAAACGACACGAATTCTTGCGTAGGCCCGGCGACTTTCTTAGCGTGTACAAGCGCCCTAAAGATGCAGTTGTGATAAAAGATGATCAAAATAAGTATACAATAATAAAATAACTCTAAAACTCATACTAATACTCGTAAGTTTAAAAAAAAACAGTGCTATCAGAAACGTACTTAGTTATTTCTGATAAATTATTGCAACTTATTAAGTCTCAACCAACAAAAAATGGTCTATCATTTAACCCAGTGATGGAAGTATAGTCTTCCCGAAGGAACGCCATAAAAACCGAAATATCTCCTGGTTCTACCCGCCCGCGCCAGAAGGAGGGTTATGTTTTTTAATGCACCCTCTGCTGGCTATCTGAAGTAATATTAGTTCATGAAAAAGAGGAGCGTCTTATCATTTAATTTTACTAAAACAGCCCTAGCCGTTTTCTTGTAAGTAAAATGTGTGATAACTAGGAAATTATGTAGAGAATTTTTGTATGATTATAATTTATTTTTTATTACAAGGTTTTTTTACTTATTTTGCTATTTCATTGCTTTAATAGAAGTACTTTTATAACTACATAATAATACTTATGTTATGGATGATTTGATAGAAACCTAAAAGACTTATTCAGGTGTAAAAATATATTTATTTCCTCTTTTGTAATTTCAACAATGACGAGTTTTTACTTTTCCTTTTCTCTTTCTTTAGTTCGCCTGATTCTAGTGCTTTTTTCATTACCTGAAACAAATTAATCAATATTTGGTGTAAATATTCAAAGTAAAATGAGCTCAATTTCAGTTACATAAGATCTATATTTCTTTAAAACTATTATGTCAGTCATATGAAATCGTCATAAAGTCAATGTTAAATGAAAGTAGATTCTAAACCCAACGTATAAGGTACATTTTCCTACTAACCTGTAACGCATTTTCCTCAGGATAAGCAAAGACTGCAGGATCGTTCAAAGTAGGGTACTTGAACGAGAATCCCTTTGGAAAGAGAGGGCGAGTGAGCATAGACTCTAGCTGTCTCTTTTTCGCCTGCAGAGCCTTGTCTATGGACGGGTCAACTTCTTTTACTGGTCTGTGTTGTCGAATTAAGGGTTTATTGTAGACAAAGTCATGTCGATAAAAAATCTATGTATCTAATAAGATCTATCTTTCGTCATTTGAATAAAAAAATCTAAAAACTTAAATAGACGCTAGAAAATTTGATTTTGTTGATTTGATACTTGAAATAAAATTATTTTTGTATGTTTTCTTTTAACAGCGAAGAGCCCAAGACCGTGTTTTATTTTGAATATTATCTTCATGCTCTTTGGGAACTTTCAGTTCTTTTTTCGCTATTTAATCAAGTCCTTTAGTTAATATGTTTTAAGTAACTCCTTAATGTTGTTACTGCCATAATTTGATAAACATATAAATATGCTGATGCCCGTTTTCACCATCAATCCCTAATTTTTAAGTGACCCCTATGGTAACACAACAGGAATTTTATTTTCATAAAGGTCACTTAAATTAATGATTGATGGTAAAAAGGCGCATTAGTTATTTTGAAAACAGTACCCAAACTAAGAATTTTCCTAAAACACAACTATTTTCAGTAAAAAAGCTGGCAGAAAAGTGCAAAAAATCCTAACAAAACTGTCATCTAAATACATACCTATAACTCAAAGGTGACTGACTGACTGACATAGTGATCTATCAACGCACAGCCCAAACCACTGGACGGATCGGGTTGAAATTTGGCATGCAGGTAGATGTTATGACGTAGGCGTAAAACGGGATCCACGCGTACGAAGTCGCGGGCGGCCGCTAGTCTCTTAATATAAAAGGATACAAGTCGTCATCATCGATGATCATGTCCATTTCTCTCGCAGCTCGCTCGCGCCATCCGGCCGCCTGCGACGCGCGTCTTCGTTGCAACGTCAGCGAGTCTAGGTCCCGCGCTACTGACACTAGGTCCTTCAGTGGGGCCAGTTGTTGTGGCGGCACCGGGAAGGTGGGGACTTCAGACGCTGGGGATACACACAGAATAAATATATCAACATCATAATGATCAGTTTATGTCTCGCTTTAGTGGGGCCTGTTGCTGTGGCACATAAGCGAGCCCGTTGCAACGTCAGCGCGTCTAGGTCCCGCGCTACTGACACTAGGTCCTTCAGTGGGGCCAGTTGTTGTGGCGGCACCGGGAAGGTAGGGACTTCAGACGCTGGGGATACACACAGAATAAATATATCAACATAATTTCAGGTTATTTGGTCTCGCTTTAGTGGTGCCTATTGCTGTGGCACATAAGCAAGCCCATTGCAACGTCAGTGAGTCTAGGTCCCGCGCTACTGACATTAGGTCCTTCAGTGGGGCCAGTTGTTGTGGTGGCACAGGGAAGGTGGGGACTTCAGACGCTGTGGGGATACAGAATTACATAAGTTAATAAACGTCGGGTAGCGCCTAGGTCCCGTGGTATAATGTTCATAAACGTCGCCGCTGCAACGTCAGCGAGTCTAGGTCCCGCGCTACTGATACTAGGTCCTTTAGTGGGGCCAGTTGGTGTGGTGGTACCGGGAACGTGGGGACTTCAGACGCTGTGGTAAATAAAATTTATAAACATCGTATGGCGTCTAGGTCCCGTGTTATAATGTTTATAAACGTCGTGGTTGTAAAGTTTGCGAGTCTAGGTCCCGCGCTACTGACACTAGGTCCTTCAGTGGGGCCAGTTGTTGTGACGGCACCGGGAAGGTAGGGACTTCAGATGCTGTGACAATACAGAATAATGTTTATAAACGTCGGGTAGCGTCTAGGTCCCGTGCTATAATATTTATAAACGTCGCCGCTGCAACGTCAGTGCGTCTAGGTCCCGCGCTACTGACACTAGGTATTTTAGTGGGGCCAGTTACTGTGTGGGGTGAAAATATCATCAGGTCATTTTGGTCTCTTTTTCTTTAGTGTTTTTTGAATAAGGTTCTGTAGTCAATCGTGGCCCGGCCCTAAATCACACCAAACTATACAGGTCTAGCGCCACTGAGTTAGTGCCTGAGGTATGATAACGACCCAGGAGTGTGTGTTGGGACGTTTGACGTCACAGCGAGACTTCAGGTTGTGTACTTCAGAATTCAGACTAGTATGCTCTGTCACGTCATATTGTCACCTCTCCTGTTCCGCTCTTCTAAGGCACTGACTCACTTATAAAATAAAATAAATAAATAAATAAATAATAAATAAATCTTTGGACAATTTCACACAGCGCCAGCTAGCCCCAAAGTAAGCAACTTATTGCTTGTGTTATGGGTGCTAGCTTAACGGATATACTACTTATATACTTTTTTTTTAAATACATAAATATTATACATAGTCACACCCAGACCCGTCACAGAAATTAAAATTCATCATTTCAATTTCTGCCCGGCCGGGAATCGAACCCGGGACCTCTCGGCATAATAGTCCGTTCTGAACCACTACACCAAACGGCCGACAAACTTATCCGTTTGACTTGTAACTCCTCTCACTCCTAAAACTAATTACTCACTCTTATTGAGCGTGCGGCAAAGCTTGGAGTACAGGAAGGCTTCCGACGGCTCCATCATCAGGATCGTCAGCCCCTCCTTCGAGGCTCGTGCGGTACGCCCGCTGCGGTGGACGTAGTTCTAAAAAGAAAGATAATAAAATGAATATGTTTTAAAATAATACACACTTACTTACTTTTTTTAACGTGATATTTGTTTACATCCATAATACATCGTATCAGGACACTTGCGCGAATCCACATGCACGGAAAGCCATTTGCGCACACAGTCATTCGCGCGATAAGACATTAGCGCGAAAGTCACGAGCACGAAAGACATGTTATTTATTATACGCGAATAACGTTTTCGCGAAATACATTTTAGGTTAAATGATTTTTTTTATTTGTAGTGGCTTATCGGCGTCGGGAACAAATCTTGACTGAACTAAAAAAAATACTTTTATCAGATGGACCAGCTACAAATACCCGGACTACGTATTAACTAAATTAACTTGCATGAAACGTATCTTCTTAGAAAAACCAAACCAACCAGTGTCAGAACTAAATTTTAAATAAACAACTTGGAAGTCCTTAGGCAGTTCTCTAATCGCAAAGAAATTTTAATTACAGTGTCAGAACTGACTAAAACTCTATTTAGCCTATACAAATAAATACACAATAAAATCTTACCTCGGCAGTCCTTGGCACCTGATAATGTATGACGTGGTCCACATCAGGTATGTCCAGTCCCCTAGCGGCTACGTCTGTAGCTATCAACACGCCGTGCGGGTCGTCGCGGAATCTGTGGCAATTATAATGGTTAATATCCGGCTCGGAGGACCATGTTAAGCTGATATGTTAATTCTAATGTTTTAGTAGATTACTTTGGTTCATATCCGGCTTGAAGGACCAAAGTTATTGAAGAAAGTTAGTGTAGGCCTTTGTCACTTTTATTATACAATCATCATAGACTTTTGATCTGTACTCTTGCTTTCCACGGGAGGCCTGCCTACACTACGTCTTTCAGTTTTTGGTCTCCACTCGAGAACTTTTCTGTCCCAACGGCCATCAGTTCTTCGAGCTATCAGCTACCACTTAAGTTTGACAATTCTGCAGGAGATGTCGCGGTTACTTTGTTTCCATAGGATCCTACAGACCATGCATGGAAACACTGCGCATTTGGGCGTGTACACTGTACAATGCGCATTTGGGCGTGTACACTGTACAATACTGTACATGCACATAACGATAGTGTCAAAACTTTTGAAAAACGAACTATAGCGAGCCACCACACATGTAAAGCTCACTCGCCTTCGTGAATTGCAAAAAGTATAATGTTGATAAGAAAAAATATAATCTTACTTTTCCAAGTTCTTCAAGCGCTGCCTTTGAGGCATGCTAGCATGTAACGGTAGCGGATGACACTTGAGCATAGAGAATAATTGCGCCAGTCGTTTGACGCTGCCTATAGAGTTGCAGAACACTATGGTCCGGCCCGGGTGCCTCTTTAGTATGTAGTAGAGGTACGCGTCTTTGTGCTCTATGGCGCACGCTATGCGGCTCTCCGTTAAGGTTTCTGCTGTACCTGTTTGAAAAAGACAAGGTGAAGTGTTTGTTCTGTAAGCACGCGACTGTGCGACGGGCGCCCGCAGTGAGTGTGCGAGCGCGACAGCAACATAATTACGCGCAAGCGATAAGGATGGGTAGCTTGGGGTCATTGGACAAAATTCTACGTGCTCACAGACCAGACTATACCAGATATATTGACTCTTGCGCTGCTTCTTCTCAGCACTGGCCCATTTATTGTCCCGAAGCAATTAATACTGGGACGTGTAAAAGTGCTTTTTAAAAGCCGTGCAAAAATAAAATGAGTTTTTTAGAAAGAGGGTAGAGGGTAGCCTAAAGTACGGCTTCATGGATTTGAGCATAAAAGTAGCGTAGCGTATTCGTCTCAAGTGTAAGTGACACAGGGCATATCAAAATTACATTTCAAAACATTATTTAAGTAAGTTTAAAAATTAAGTTTAAAACTTTTTACTTTACGCAGTCGGGTTTAATTCGGGATAGTCGGGCATTTACGCCCGTATTCACAAACGATGCTTGCTTAAGTGAAGCAGCAAATCGAACGCGTTGAATAGAGCTCTCTGATTGGTTCGTGTGTCACCCTGTGCGTCCACGCGCACTATGAGACTTCATAGTAATGTTTGTGAATACGGGCGTAATAAATATCTCATAAAAATACTGTTCATCTAGATTTCACGATAGATTGTAAAGCCCGGTCTGTGAGCACGTAGAATTTAGTCCAATGACCCCAAGCTACCCACCTTTATCGCTCGCGCGTAATTATATTGCTGTCGGTCATTGGACAAAATTCTACGTGCTCACAGACCAGACTATAGAGAACACTTACCTAAGTTCTGAGTGGTGATGTCCACGACCTTGGGGTCGGTCATGCCGATCTTGGCCACCAGCCGCTTGATCTTCTGCTGCGGCGTCATCTTCTCGACCTTTCTGTTTATTATCTTGCCTCTTTTTGTTACCTGTGGTTACAAAGTTAGGTAAGCTAAGGATTCTATGTTAAAGTTGAGGATTTAATTGTTTATTGTCTTGACTCTTTTCGTTACCTGGGTTATAGATAAAGTTAGGTAAGCTGTAGATTCTGTGTTAAAGGGAGAACTCGTAGAAAATGTTGTGTATTTTAATTTTCATTATATTGCATGTTTTGTTACAAATAAAGGTAAGTAAGTCATAGTCTCTGTGTTAAAGGAGAACAAATAGAAATTATTACGTATAGTAATTTTATTTCATTTTTATTATTCGTTGTCATAATCGCAATACAGTGTTTCACACTCCGAAAAGTTTAAGTGTCTACCTAAATTATTCATTTCATAAAAACGGTCAGCGATATCATGAAATGATCAATTCTAAGAACTAGCTGGATTTCTATAAGAAATCATGTGCTATTAAGTTCGCCTTTTGTGTCTTATTTTAAGTGCGATAAAATAAAATTTGGTCCCAAATAGGGATGTTTCCTGGGTCAAAAAGCAAGAGTTTTAATTAGTCCGTCAGTTAACTTATCAAAAAATACTCTACACGTATTTTTCACTTTTTCAAACTAATGAAAATTTAAAGAGATAAAGCGCGCCAAAGTTCATAAGAGGCCCGTGACGTCAACGCTTGCATAAAAATGCCGCACGTTGTGACGTCGTGCGGAACTTCAACGCACCATAACTATGTAATTATTTGTTAGATTGACAAATAAAAATATATGTGTCCAATATTTTTTGATATTAAACATGACGGACTAAAAAATTTTTTTTAGGAAACTAGCCCATTACCTTCTTTCCTCTCATATGCGCCGGCAGGTCATGCACCATAGTGAGAGTGGCAGAGAACACGAAGTTCTGCCTCGTTCTGCTTCGCTCTTCGTCCGCGTTGAGTCGTTCTAGCAGAGGCTCGAGTTCTTCAAAATGGTTACGCTCCACCATGCGGTCTGTCTCGTCTATGGCTAGGAACCTAGTAGGGGTGGGGTTATGATCTTTATCTATTATATAAAAGAAAGTCGTGTTAGTTACTCCACTTATAACTCAAGAACGGCTGAACTGATTTAGCTGAAAATTGTCAGCGAGGTAGTTTAGAGCCAGGAGAAGGACATAGGATACTTTTTATCCCGTTATTTATTGCCATTAAGGCGGAACAAAGTTCGCCGGGTCAGCTAGTTGACAATAAAGATTGGATTTTTGGGCTATAATACAAGCTTGAATTATTAGACTTAAATGTATCTTTCTTAAACCATCAAACATTTACTCGATTCTTTTTTTTTCCGCGCAACATGGCGCCGCACAGTGTGTTATGGGACTGTATAAACGGACATTCTCATTGATTTGATGAAACGTATAGAGCTCAGTTATACAAACATGATAGTAAAACTCCCGTTTGAAAATTCTACGTAGTTTTCGCGGTATAAAAATTCTAAGTTACCTATTTTTTTACTTCAAAATTATGCAAAAATATTCTCACTCGTTAACTAATAACATTTAATTCAGAATTGTTATAATACTTCATAGAGCTCTTAAAACTACACGTAATAAGCGTATTAAGTGCTTCGTAAACGCATTCTGTTAATTAGGAGAAATGATTTTAGTGATTTTTGTTTTTATTTTTTTTCTCAATTATACCTTAATATATGCAAACATTTTTAATTGCAAGATATAGTCTGATATTTAATCTACTTGTATAAAAAAATCAGCTTTAAATTCCGTGATATATTTGAGGAAAATCAAATTGAAAATATGCGCCAATATAGAATTGTAAATTTCCCATCACTTTTTAATAGCAATATTTCTTTTGAATGTTTAAATATCATCAGCTCGATTGTACCAAATTATTGTAACATTTATAAAAATCTGTTAAAATACCCAATAATTTGTTATTGGCTCTTATGACGTTTTTTACATCTTCAGGCATAAATATCTATCGTTTCTTTTGGGTCGACAACCAAATTAACATTTTGTCTTTCTTTCAAAACGATCTTAACTCTGGCCGAGCCCTCAAGATCTGTGAGATACCCAAAACTATACTCACTTAACACAGTCCAACTGTTGCAAATGCGGCTGACCCTGCGATATCAGCTCCCACAGCCTGCCGGGAGTCGCCACCACCACCTCGGGCCCTGAGCGGAGCACCCTCTCTTGTTTGACGGCCGCCATGCCGCCTACGATAGTCGCTATTCTTATGCCTGAGAACCCACCAGAAAGTTACAATTTTTATCTATTGATTTTGCTAAATGGTTAGAAGTTTAAAATTTCTATTCATGTTGTAACACTTGTTGTTGTTGTGTCTTGTTCAGTAAAATAAGCATTTTAATAGACTAAAGTTTAAAACCTCTCTCTGTAACCACTAGTTACTGATTTATGTTATTTCCTTTTATATTATTTTATTCAATTAACCACTAAAGCCCGGTCTGTGAGCACGTAGAATTTTGTCCAATGACCCCAAGCTACCCATCCTTATCGCTCGCGCGTAATTATATTGCAGTCGCGACTGTGCGACGGGCGCCCGCAGTGAGTGTGCGAGCGAGTAGTTGCCTACAATTTCAGTTTAGATTTGCAAATACTGGAGTACAGATTAAAAAAATACTACTCAACACTGGCAAGTTATGAAGTGAATATCGCTGAAAAGAAAAATGGATACTTTTAAGTTTTAAAATTTGTAATGTTTGAATTACCTGTGTATTTAGCAACAGCTATCAAATGTCTGCTGATCTGTATGGCCAGTTCTCTAGTGGGAGTCAGGATCAAAGCGTACAGAGGCTTCCCAGTCTTCACCACCACATGTCCAGGTATCTCTATATTGTCTATGACTTTTACACAGCCAATGCCTTGTTCATTCTCATCACCTTCGTCCATTTCTTCATCATCTTCATCACTGCCACTTTCAATGGACTTTTCATCATTGGCATCAGGATTTTCATCATCATTTATTGTTGTATCTTCATCGATTTCATCATCATCGTCTTCGCTCTCGTTTACTGTTGTGTCTTCATCATTTTCGTCATCATCATCGTCTTCACTCTCATCCACAGATTCTTCTTCATCATCATTATCTTCACTCTGACTTTCATCATCACTATCTTCATCAATTTCATTCTGAGTCTCATCATTGCTGTTTTCAGCATTAGACTCATCAGCACTTTCAGTGTCACTATTATCTGTTTCTTTGTTTTCTGTTTTTGACACAGTTTTATCGTTTTCGTCATCACTGGAGGCGGCCAAATCGTCTGAATCAAACATTTCTGACAGATGGATATAGTTGGAGCTGTCATCACTGTCATTTCCTTCATCTGTAGATGTTTCTTTACGTTTTATTGGTACTACAATTTCTTCTACATAATCATCATCATCTTTAGCATTGTCATTAGATTTCTTAACATTTTTAGTTGGCTTAACTTTTCTAGAAGCTTCATTATTGGATTTACTTACAGGTGCAGACTTTTTATCTATTTCAGATGTTTTGTTGTTTTCTTCTTGATCTGAATCAGAATTCTCTTCATCAGAACCATAGCCATCTTCAGAAGACTCTTTAGCTTTCTGTTCTGTTCTTTTCTCTTGCTTCTTCTTATTAACTTTTCCCTTTTTCTTTACAGGTTCAGGTTTTATATTTTTCCTTTTCATTGAGGTCTTTTTGTAGGGGATGTCATAGACATCTAGGCCCTTCAGTTCTGCCTTTTCCTTCAGTCTTATGATTCCAGTTAGTATAGGAAGGCCGAAAGCTAGAGTTTTTCCGCTGCCTGTTTCAGCTGCTCCTAGAATATCCCTGCGCCCTGTTAGAGAAAATAAATTCTGTTTAGATATTCATAATATTAAAAAAAAAACAGTAACATTAAAAAAATCAGTAACATTAAAAATGGTATAAATCACTGAAATAATTGCAATTTATGTCATGTCTCTGTAATGTGTATGGCTGTTGGTATGCTTTATGAATAATAATAATAAAAAAATCTAATTTTTATTGAACCTTTTTTTAAATAGCTGACAATACCTGTAGTAAACCATCTTTTTTAATATAAATTAAAATTACTGGACCCTTCTGTCCAGTACGTACACTCATTAAAAATAAATGAGTGACAACTCACATAGTATTTTCAACCGACTTCAAAAAAGGAGGAGGTTCTCAATTCGACCCGTATGTTTTTTTTTTTTTTTTTTCTATGTTTGTTACGCGATAACTCCGCCAATTATGAACCGATTTGAACAAATCTTTTTTCGGCGTATAGGTAATACCTCAAGGGTGGTCCCATTTAAATTTAATAATAGAAAAAACAACCCCCAAGGGTGGAAAATTGGGGATGAACTGTTTTATACGCAATATCTCCGCCGATTATAAATCAATTTGACTGATTATTTTTTTGTTGAATAGGTATTATCAAAAGGGTGGTTTCATGCGAATTTGAAGAAAATATTTCACCCCCAAGGGTGGAAAATTGGGGATGAACTTTTTTATACGCAATATTTTTAATTTTTAGTTTTTTTTGTGTTCACGCATTTGAAGTCGGTTTTATTTTTTTTAAAAGTTAATTATTAGTAATTATTATAACTATCTCCTCTTAGAACTATGTAAGCACTTACCATGTATAGCAGCAGGCAATGATAACTCCTGAATCTTTGTTGGTTTTTTAAAGCCTAGTTCTGTTAAGGCCTTCATTATTGGTTCTGGCAATTTGAACTCTGCCCAAGTCAGCATGTCTTCTGGTGTCAGGTCTGACACAGTTTCTGACATATTCTCTCCTAATTTGGGCTTTGATTTTTTATTGTTACTAATATTTTTCTTAGGAGATTTATTTTTCACTTCTTTTGATTTTTCTTCTGGGTTTTCTGGTGTTTTCTTTTTGTTTTTCTTATTTTTCTTTCTCTTCTTCTTTGTTTTATTTTTTTCTGGCTGTACCTCGTTAGTTGTAGAAGGTTTAGTCACATTGCATGATTCTACGATGAATCCATTGCTAAGTTTTACAGGTGCTTTCGGTGCTGTCTCTTTCTTTGTATCTTTTTTCACCCTTTTAGGAGCTACATCTGATATAACTGTATCCTCATTTCTCCTCTTTTTTGTCTGTTTTTTCTGAAAGAATGGTTATGAAGATGGTAAAGTACATGTGGCATTTATATGAATTTATCTATGTTTTCGTTAATGTAATGTATTTGTGTTATACATAAAGGTTTCCTTAATATTTAAGCCTATTAACTTTGTGAATAAATATCTATTTTATTACCTTTTTACGCGATTTTAGTTCTTTATCCAAACCATAGCTGGTGCACTCTTCTAAGCCCACAAATCCTTGGAATTTGTCGGACATGGATACCGGAAACCCTTCTAAAGCTACAGACTGCCATTTTAGATTGTTTAACTTCTTACTCATTTTAATATTTCACACAGAATTAATACAAAATAAATTAATACCACCACTCGCAAGAGATAGATAACCTCAATCCAGGGTATGGAAACTTCCATACAACGGTCATCGAAGTGAAACTTGCTTCCAAACAGCGACATCGGTGAATAAATTCAAATACTTTTTAACTACTCTAAAACGGTCTAGATGTCGCTGCTCGTGTTTTCATCATATTTTCATTTTTTTCTTAATTAAAATATATTTGAGAATATTGTTAATTACAATGTGAAAACTTTTTTTAAATGGAATTAATTTGTTTTAATTAAAAACTGAACATTGACATTTTTGTTATAATTTACGTAATAGAGTAGTAGAAATTACTATTTAACATATGGCAACTTTGTTTTTCCTCCAAAATGGCCGGTGTTGTTTTTGTTATGTTAAATGCATTCTTGTTTTCTTATCCATCATTTAAGTTTTCTGTGGCCCTATTAAAGTATTGAAGAGTCGTCGAGTCAAATTCAATCACTTACCATCAGGTGAGATACAGGCCAAGAGCTTCCTCGTTGTGGATAAAAAAAAANTTTTTAGTGTTGTTGAAAACTTTGCGAAAAGACGCTTTTGGTGTATAATATTATGTGTGTTCATAAATAAAGTAAAATTATTAAATTCAAAAGTTTTTGTTTACTTATTTGCATTTCCATGTGCAATGTAGAATTTTTCCAAATCCATTGTTTTGAAAATAATACAATACGTACACCATAAAGATAAATATTTTCAAAATAATGGATTTGAAAAAATTCTACATTGTACATCATAAAAACAATAATTCTTTGAAGGTTATGAGGGCCTATGTGTGCGTGAACTGTGTGTATGTGTGCGTGGACTTTATGTATGTATGTGTGCGTGTACTATGTGTGTATGTGAGCGTTACGTACGTAGGTTAAGTACAGCGAATTTAACACCAGGCTGTCAATTAGTAGGCTCAAAAATTTGACAGAGAGGGTTCTCTATTTCCTATGTATTACTTTTCTCTATGCCTCAATCAACGTGGTTTTGACATTGACGTTTCCTTGTAAACATTCGTTTACGAAGTCTGTTCAGTTTTTTATCATTACACACTTTTCCCCCATATCATTATTATAGGGGTGAATCATTAAGGTGTGAATAATTTTTTTGTAAAATGGTATTCAGTTGGATTTCTGGAAGTAAAAAATTGCTGAAGTCAGGAATTTTAACAAATATTTTTTTAAATTATGGCAAATGAAAATTAAGCTGAATAAAATGGCTGTCATTGCTGTCAAACGACAAGAAAAAACTGAATAGCACGCTGCCAACCATAGACAAAAGAGGGAGGAAGTTTGTGAGTGATCGATTTTACACCGGCCTCCTAAACTTTTCAACGGCATTTTTCTTTGTTTGCCCTTACGCGTGTGGACAATATTTATACAACATCCACGAGCCCGTGTCCAGTGGTCGAAATGGCGAACACGTTTCGCGGTGTGACGGTGTCGGCCGTCAACAACGAAGGCGCTTTGACGCCCCGCTTCAATTTTCCTACAAACGTAAACGTGGATTACGATCCACAAGGGTTGAGTGTAAAAGTGATCCGTGCTGACCCTGTGCTAGCACAAGAGGTGCTCGAGTTCCCCGTCCACAGCCAGAGCGAGTGTTCCCGCGTAGCCGGCCAGTCGTATATCTTCACGATTGACAATGAGACTTTATTCTTCAAGTTTGCGTCGGATGCCGATTGTCAAAACTTCCACCTGCTCGTCAGCAAAATCAAGGCGGGCAGGTCGTCGTCGGTGTTCACAGTGCGCACCGAGGACTCGTCAGCGATGCAGTACTTTCAGTTCTATGGGTACCTGAGTCAGCAGCAAAACATGATGCAGGACTATGTGAGGACTAGTACGTATCAGCGCGCTATCTTATCCAATATCAATGACTTTAAGAACAAAGTGGTGCTAGATGTGGGCGCGGGGTCAGGTATTTTGTCATTTTTTGCCGCCCAAGCGGGTGCGCGGAAGGTTTACGCAGTAGAGGCGAGTAATATGGCCCACCACGCTCAGGCCTTAGTTCGCGCCAACGGTCTCCACGACCGCATCACAGTAGTAGCGGGGAAAATCGAAGAAATCGAGCTCCCTGAAAGCGTTGACATTATCATATCCGAACCCATGGGCTACATGTTGTACAACGAGCGTATGTTAGAAACGTACCTGCATGCAAAGAAATGGCTAAAACCTAACGGTAATATGTATCCCACCCGAGGTGACCTCCACATAGCACCCTTCACAGACGATGCATTATTCATGGAACAGTACAACAAAGCCAATTTCTGGTATCAAACCTGCTTCCATGGTGTTGATCTAAGTGCACTCCGTACCGCTGCAATGAAAGAATACTTTAGACAGCCAATAGTAGACACATTTGATGTACGTATTTGCATGGCACGGTCCGTGAGACACGTGGTAGACTTTCTCAATGCCCATGAAACCGATTTACATCGCATCGAAGTGCCGTTTAGATTTGAGCTGACACAGTCGGGCACTTGCCACGGCTTGGCGTTCTGGTTCGACGTGTTGTTTGCGGGCACCACGCAGCACATATGGCTGTCGACGGCGCCGACGGAGCCCCTCACTCATTGGTACCAAGTGCGTTGTTTGTTAGAAACGCCAATTTTTGCTAAACAAGGACAGGTGTTAACAGGCCGTGTGCTGTTACTGGCGAACAAGAGACAGAGCTATGATGTGACGATGGAGATTAACTTGGAGGGGACGAATATTTCGTCGTCCAACACGTTGGATCTGAAGAACCCGTACTTTAGATATACCGGCGCGCCCGCTGCGCCGCCTCCAGGCGTGAACAATACATCGCCGAGTGAATCTTACTGGAACTCCATCGAGTCCACCGCCACTCTCAGCAACGGGCAGGGAGTGATTCTCGCGGACGGCACGCAGCAGTACTGCTCGACGCCCGACCAGACGATCGCGTATGGAGCCCCCAACATGATCAAAACTGTGATGCTCCAGGAGGAGTTCATCAAGCGGATCGGGATCAGCCAAAATGGCGACATTTAATCGTCAAGGTCGCGCCGAGCGCGCCTTAGGGCTATAAGAAACCGTCGTAATCGGTTGTGAGCACTCTTCCGTTCAGACTTTGCTAGTGTGTAAGCAGACTTATTTATTTCAAAACAAACATCACAGTGGAGAGGACTATGCGTATTTAATAGGAACTTCGCATCTGGCCTTGTAAATTAAAGCAAAGTGAAAAGGCATGAAATAATAAAACTGTAAGTTTTGGTGGATGTTTGGTTTTCGAAGTTCGAATGATGCTTATTAGTGTAATTTGGATTGTGTAACTTGTTTGGACGAGCTAGGGTTAAAGTTAACCACACACAGCTCTGCGGCAACCCAATAAAGATCATCACAACTCAATTGCACGTCCTGTGGTCATCAAAACAAGCCGTAATACACTGCTTTAATTATAGAAATTCAATGTAAATATTGTGGTGAACAGAATCAGCATCAAACCTGGCCAGAAAGAGTGTGGTCTTCATTGGTTGTATTCTGTTGCAGAAATGTCTACTACCGAACTAGTTTTGGTAATAATTAACAAGTTTTCATCACAGCCATGACTTGGACTCGAGCTGTGGCAGCTCTGGGCTAGAATAAGTAATTTAGCAAGTGAAGTACACTTAGGATAAGCAATAAGTGCTGATTTTAATGATAATGCTTACCATTGTCAATACTCATTTATCATATTAGACCAGGCTCAATCATAGTTAGGTAGAGGAATCATTGACACCAACCAGTTATAAATTGCCAGTGGTTTTACGGATCTAAATGTGATTTTTGACGATTGATTCCTTTGTCTGCCAGTCTTTCAAGAGATTGTGGATTACATCCGGAATAAATTTGATAGTTAAATATTTTTATACAATATGACTAGCCATATGTGTTATGTATGTTACATTCTGTAAATATAGGATTAATATCCCTTGTTTCTTACAGTTGATCAGTATTGGTTTTGTGTTCTGTTGTCTAGAATGGTCTAGCAGATGTCTTAGTTGTAGAATATAAAAGAGGATATAGCACCACTTTTGAGATCTTGAAGTAATTGATATTTTTCCTAAACTGAAAAATAGTGGTGGTGTATCTTTGAAATTACTTAATTATACTGCTACTTAAACACTTTGTTGAAATATTTTTTTGAGTCTTAACGTCTCGATGTAAACCCCAGTTTCAGCAGTCCTATATTACATTATAAAGTATGAATATATTTGGTGCTCTATCTTTTTGCACAAAAATAGTTTTTGCATAACATACTACCTCATGATTTGGCAGACAAATTTGGACTTTACGTACGACATAGCTCTTAAAACTTTATATTGACTATCCTTTATTAGGGTTGCCAATTTTAAAATAACACAGCAACATCTACTTCCAGTGTCATTGTCATATCAATAAGGATTTGAAAAGGAATATGATTGCACTTATGACAATTTTAGAAAGTTAAGTTACATAGGGGGATAGTTGTAGAGGTAATTTTAATTTTTAGAACCTTTAGATGGTATTTGGCAACCCTATTGAGTATTCCTTGTAGTTTAAAGCCAATATCACTTGCCATTATGGTCTAATTAAGATATTAACACTTGTAATGTGGTGACTTTAGTAAGGAATGGTCAAGAAGGCAAATAATAAATTTCAGTCTTCACTCGGTCCATTTCCAAAGACTGTAATACATTTTGGGTATTTATTCCTCAACGTTTCATCAAATAGAAAGCAATATTTAGATTGTAATGTAGAAAAGGTAGAATGTAAGGCGCAAGTGTTGCAACACTATGGATGTTGCTTGTTACAAAAATGTGCTGTGAAAAGCCAGAGCCGGTGTTGCCAGCGTATGTTTTGTACTAATTATGTATTTTTTTTAATTGAGCAAATAATTTTGTCAGTTGATTGTAATAGTTATGTATGTATATTTGTTTATTTTCTATTTGATGTAAACAAGAAGCTGAAGAAATTGACAATTAAATCTGATCGAATCCATTCAATCGTGAAACTGATTGTGTAAATAAGAACAATATTTGTAAAACA